TATTAAATTGACTTACCACGAAAACATGACTTGTGTACTCGAGGTATGTACATATTTGTATTAATTGGTCGCTTTTCTTCTAATCAGTTCCATTTTATTTGTATAAAACCTTTCACAACTTCTTGTTTTAAAGCAGCTCTACAGAATATATGGCCTTGACACCGGAGACATGAAATCCAACGTATCACGAGGTGAGGTTTTTAAAAGCTGTATTATATCCACACGGGGGCAGCAAACTACAGTTTTGAACAAATATGTCCAAAACTGCCTCATCAGTTATTACAATCTTTTGCATGAACTTGACAGATACCAGTTTCAAAATACTGTAACAGAGTTAAAGTTCTAGTCTGTTAAGTCTGTATAGCTCATATGTGACCTGGACCACAAAACCAGTCATAAGGGTCGAAATTTGACCTTTAAATCTGAAAGCTGAATAAATAAGCTTTCCATTGATGTATGGTTTGTTAAGATATGACAATATTTGGCCGAGATACAACTATTTGAAAATCTGGAATCTGAGGGCACAAAAAAATCTAAACATTGAGAAAATCGCCTTTAAAGTTGTCTAAATGAAGTCCTTAGCTATGCATATTACTAATCCAAAATTAAGTTTTGATATATTTACGGTAGGAAATTGACAAAATATCTTCATGGAACATGATCTTTACTTAATATCCTAATGATTTTTGGCATAAAAGAAAACATCGATCATTTTGACCCATACAATGTATTGTTGGCTATTGCTACAAATATACCCGTGCGACTTATGACTGATTTTGTGGTCCAGGGTCACATGTAGGTTTTTAATTGAATATAATGTGATTACTAATCACCTCACAGTCATTTCAAAGACTATGTCTAATAATGGGGTATGAAAATCCCTTTATTTAAGTTTTACAGATTGTGATACAAAGTGTCTTTATTATGAGCTCCAGGATACAACTAATGGGCATTCAAAGTCTTTAACCCTGCTGGAAAATCTAGCTAGAGCTAGTTTAAGGTGGGTTTTTTGTTTTGGAGCTGGTTTGTAGCTGGTTCGTGCTGATTAGGTGGACGACCACCCAAACTAGACCAGTTTGGACCAGCAACAAACCACTTTTAAGTTTGTATGACCTGGTCATACCACATGGTCTCATACCCAAGATAGTCTACCAGGTGTCCACCTGCTAGTCAAATACATAAACCAGCTTGAACCAGATAGAAACGAACTGTGTTCTTCCATAACCAGGTGCATTTAGAATCAAACATTTTCTATCCACGATAATCCTCAGGTATTCATTCTCATGCAGATCTTTTTATTCAATGATGCTGAACATTCAACTTGACAGAGTCTCTATTTGTGGAAGTAAAGTTTTGTTTATTGGCTTTGCTGTCTGTTTATCTCTCCAGGCCCTCTGGAGATTCATTTAGCTGCTTCTCAGATTCCTGTTTGTCCTTTTCCATTTGTTCCTGCTCTTTGGTGTCCAATTCCTTCAGTTTTTCCTCCACGTCTTTGGGAATCTCCACCTCCATCAGATTCTCCATTCCCGCCTCCGGCTCGTCTCCAATCAAAACCTTAATCAAAGACACACAAAATTGCACATGAAACCTTAATGGACCTCAATATGTTCCGTCAGAGTCGCATATCGAGAGAAAAGTGGTAATGACGCAGGACGGGAGCTAATGAGATGCCAGACAGCACTTCACTTTTACTGTCATTCCCAAGTAGCAATTTCGGGAACCCGACAACATGGAAAAACTTCAGTAACTTGAGTTGTAGCTGTTAAAGTCGTGTTAGTTAAAAACTGCTGCATTATGAAAAAGCGCCCATTAATCCTGGATAAATATTAGCCTCGTTCTGTGCTTGGCATATTAGCTGTTTTATTGATGCTAATTAAAATGGTTGGGTTGAGGCAAACTGCCGAACCACTGCTTTTGGCCTGGAGTTCAAAAGGGATCTCCCAGACGTTATGGAGAATATCATGCTTTAATAGGAGACCCTGTGACATCTTTTCCATGGGGCTGTACCCAAATATATGCCTGTCACGGTGCAAGGAACAGGCTTTTTCCACCAAATTAGTGTCTCTTGCTTTTTTCGACAAAAACCCATAAATCCTGGTTTTGGAGAACTGGAACTGATCGGTCTACTGTCTGGGGTCTTCCAAAGCACAACAATCCACATCGACAGAAAACGTTGCATGTGACGATCTCGCAAAAGTGATGCAATAGAGATGCAATCATGCAATTGGATGGAACTGCGTTAATTTGAAATGGAACCTTATAAGCTAATACACTAAGCATAAACAACACACAGTACCCACAAATATTGGATAAAATAGTCTCGTAATATCAACTTGTCTGCCATCTTGAATTAGTTTT